TATATACATTTAACGTAATCATCCATATGGTAGTGTTTAAATCCGTCTTTCCTAGTTTTATTCTTTTTTTCTTCTTTTTCCTCTGCCTTTTTTTGAATTGAGTATTTTTTTTAAAACTTTTTTTTTTTTTTGCAGGTGGGAGGTGATTAGGTTGGTTTGTTTGTTTTTCTAATGTGCTGGTGCTGGGGATTGAACCCAAGACCTTATGCTTGCTAAGCATGTGCTCTATCACTGAACTAAACCCTCCCCCCTGAATTGAGTATTTTTATTGTTCCAGTTTATCTCCTATAATGACTTATTACAGGTACCTATTGGTTATTTTAATGGTTACTCTATTGTTTAAAATATACATCTTTACATTATTTTAATTCTAATCATTAATATTTCCTTTCTTCTACTTATTTTGCTTTTAATTTGTTTTTTGATTTTGGGGGTTTTTTTTGGTTTCTTAAAGTGGAAGCTGAGGTCAGTGATTTGACATTTTTCTTCTTGTTTAATATAAGCATTTTAGTGATATAAATCTCCCTTTGTGAGGGAGGATGTAGCTCAAGTGGTAGAGCGCATGCTTAGCATGCGTGAGGTCCTGGGTTCAATCCCTACTACCTCCTCCAAAAATAAATAAACCTAATTACCTCCTCCCCCGCCAAAATAAAATAATTAAATAATACAATAATAAACAAGATATTTAAAAAAATAAAATAAAATCTCCCTTTGTGTACTGCTTTAGCTGCATCAACAAATGTTAATGTTGTGTTTTCACTTCAACTTACTTCAGAATACTTTCTTTTTTTTTCAAGTTTGTGCAGGTGTACTTTTTAAATTGAAGTATTGTCTGTTTACAATGTGTCAATTTCTGGTGTACAGCGTACTGTTTCAGTCATACATATATATATATATATATTTTCCTTTTCATATTCTTTTTCATTATAGGTTACTACAAGATATTGAATATACTTAGTTCCCTGTGCTATACAGTAGAAACTTGTTTATATGATGTATATATATTAGTTAGTATCTGCAAATCTTGAACTCCCAATTTATCCCTTCCCACCCCTTTTCCCTCTTGTTAACCATAAGTTTGTTCTTTATGTATCTGAGTCTGTTTCTGTTTTGTAAATAAGTTCATTTGTGTCTTCTTTCTAGATTCCACATACAAATGATATATGGTATTTTTCTTTCTCTTTCTGGCTTATTTCACTTAGTATGACAATCTCCAGGTCCATCCATGTTGCTGCAAATGGCATTACATTATTTTTCATGACTGAGTAGTATTCCATTATATAAATATACCACAACTTCTTTATCTAGTCTGAATCATTTAAATTTAATGTAATTATTGAAATAGTTGAGTTTAAATTTACCATCTTACTGTTTGTTTTCTGTTTCTGTCATATTTGTCTCTTCTGGTCTCATCCCCCTTTCCTTTTTTCTGCCTTTTTTTTTAATTTAATATTTTTAAAGCATTTATTTATTTTATCTCCTTTGTTGGCTCATTAACTATAAATTCTTATTTATTGTTTTAGTCATTTCTCTGGGGTTTATAGTATACATCTTTAACATACTCAGCCTAACTGAAAGTGATATTATACTACTTGCAGTATATATAAGACAAGAACCTTACAACAATTCTAGTTTCATATCTTCCCAGTGAGTAACCCCAATAAAATGAGCATTTCTTTTTCTCAGTATTGATTTTTCAGTCCCAAGGAAGATTCTAAATCTCCCTGCTTGGGTTACATACTCACCCCTGAACAGACAGCAGTGGGCAGGAACCTGAACATTTTCATCAGTCTGAATTCCTACAGCAGCCCTTCTAGAACTTCAAGGAATTGGGAAAGACCTCACTAGAATAACCCAAGAAGAGGAATGCAAAAGTGCACTGGTTAGACAAAACCTAGAGTTATCATAGACCATTACAGGCAAACTTATCACAGAAGGAGTTTACAGACTGACAAGTGGAGACTTCACAAACACTTGCTATAAATTCCCAATAGATCTTGCCAACAGTACTGAACTTGGCCACACAAAGCAGGAGCAAATGAAGCATTGTTTTGTATGACATTTTCCTTCCCCTAGTACCCCCCAGGGCACTCAGCCACCAGTGGCACTTCTGCAGATCTGAATTCTGTCAAGCTGGAAAAGAAGCCAAATACTCCGCCACTCTTTCATATCTTTTATCAGCATTCTGGAGAAATTTTTACCAGCAATATAAGCTCTTCTGTGTAAGACACTATTGACAATCTGGACCAGAGAACTCTTTATCATGAGGGACTGCCTGTGCATTATATGATGTTTAGCAGCATCCTTGGACTCTACCTACTAGATGTCAGTAACACACCTGCCTCCCTGGTTGTGGCAATCAAAGATTTCTCCGGATAATGCCAAATATCCCCCGGGGGAATAAAATTGCTCCTGGTTGAGAACCACTGATTTAAGGGACTGTGTAGAAACATCAGGATTTATAGGTTCTTAACTGCAAGTAGGCATCAGTGGATGGAGAGAAAGCAGAGTTAGCATTAGGTGTCCTCCACTCCCAGAGCCCAGCAAGCCCATCTCTTCTCAAGGGACCACATCTGCTGTTCACTGCTGCAAAAACAGTTCCCGATAGAAAAGAACACTGCTCAACAACCACAACCACAACAAATATTAAATAAATACTAGAAGAATAAGTGAATGGAAGGATGGATGGATGAAAAGAAAAATGTGCATGGTTATTCACAGTGTTACTCTGGGGCAAAGAGTGATATAGATGATAAAAAAAGGGGTTATTTTACTATTTTACTTTAAAATTTTTTATTTGAATTTTATCACTGTTTTTACTCTCATAGTTTATTTGATCTTAAATGATTTATTTTGAAAGCACTTGGAAATCAAGCATTTTCTCTTTGGCAACTTATTTCTTAAATTTGCCGGGGCTTTTTGAAAGTACAAATGTGGACTTGAGCCCTTGTTCACATTCTTAACACATAACCAAGTCTGAAGCTTGGGATTTTTCTTTCTTTTAACTCATGAGCAAACAGCTATGTCATATAAATATTTGTGAATGAGGTTTGTGTTGGGAAAAAAATGGACTTAGCACAAAAGGAACCCAACACATTACATTCAACTATGTGCGTTGGCCTTGAGGGCAGGGACCAGAGTGGATGCATCATCACATCTTGAGCCCTGCAGAGCTTGTGCAGGGTGCGCCCTGAGGAATTGCATGCTGAAAAGATGATGATGATGATGATGATAAAGCTTCATAGGCATGGTTTGGGTTACTGTGTCAAACTAGGATTTGGGGTGCAGGATGTGAGTCAGGTGTGGTGAAAAGCTCTCTAAGAGAAGAGCAGGTCTCTGGGCCTTTGTGCAAAGGGTAGAGGAATAGGCCAGGGAGTATAGAAGGAAAAGGTAATTGGTGGGGACAGTTGCTGCTTCTCTTTCTCCTCTGCCACTGGCAGGAAGCTGGGTCAGATGCTGCAGTGAGAGCAGACCCTCCCCCTGGGGTCAGGAACCTAGCAGCACAAAGCAGTCCAGCACCTGTCCCATATGACACCCCGACTCCTGTAGAATTCTCATCTCTCCCCTCACCTCCACCCCAGAGGGAAAGACCCAGCCACCTGGGTCTCTGGATGTCAGGGCTCCAGGGACCAGGAGAGCCTGGCCTGCTTGCGAGAGGAGGTCATTTATTTACACATAGCTGGCAATGCTCGAAGATACAGAGCAATCCATCCACCTTAGCGACCAAACAGATTCGCTTCGCCTCATCCTCCCGCAGAAACGGTCAAGGAGGGAGGTGGTGCGAGGTGACCTTCCAGAGCTGAATCTGTGCTTCTAAAAATAGAAGCATCCTTGGAGAATCGAGAAGGGAAAGGGAGGCTGTGGATGTTGAGGGCAAAAACCAGACTCCCTAGAGCATGGTCAGTATGAAACTGTATTAATTAGACACAGACACCCAGCTCGATCACCTCAGGTAACACAGAAATTAAAACTAAATGAACTGGCTTTTTTTTCCTTTCTGGTTATACTTTCCCTCGGCTAAAAAGGAGACAGAGAATGGTGTCTCCTGACCTATTTGAGATGTTTTCCTCAGCATAGGAAAATGGGGCTTCTTAGAGACACACCAAGAGAAGGCAAGAGCTGCAGCAAAGTGGGAGCCCTAGGTTCAGCCACTGGGGGACCTGCAGGGTCTGGGTCCCCACCCATCTCTCCCTGCCCGCAGACTGCATGGGGCCGGGCGAGTTGCCCGCGTGTGCCCAGGGCTGTGGATGTGTGGGGCCCGGGCTGCTCCTCTCAAGTCTCTGCAGGGTCCTTCTCTAGAACCATGTAGGGACTAGGTGTTTACAGGGTCCAGTGGAGCCGCTTGCTGGTC